CGAATGTGAGAGAAAAATGGAACACCTAGAGCGAGTGGAACGCAAGCTATTGGAGCAGTGTAGCTAGGTGGCTATCTTGGTGGAGTGTTTCGCCTGGCTGCAACGATGTGACGAGTGCATCGAACAATTCGAGGAACTTAGCCGTGTTAAGCGTTGTCGAATCATCGTTGCAAATAGATAACCTGTGGTGACGAGGATTGCCTGATTTGCGGATGCAAAGGGACAATTAGAAAGACGTTTCGTGCACGTAGGTGACGAGCATTAGTAGAGACAATGGATCTCTCATTTGACGAGAGATTGATACGGCGTTTGAAAGCCGTATTGCCTGGTGCGGTGATTAACGTGGACTATACCATACCGCGATGATTTTTGGAAGATGCTGATGGTGTAGTGTTCGAGCGAGTGCGAGATATTGTACAAAGACACGATAGTGTGAAAGTGAACACCACATTCAATGGCGAGTTTGTGATGGGCGATAAACGCGCCAATAAAAGTATAAACACTAAAAACTATGAAAAACTTTTTCGAGTGTCAAATTTTGGCAAATGGTACGAGCAGTATGTCATCGAACCTACGTTGGTGTCGCTTGAAGAATTCCAAGAACACGACAGTGGATGGGTGGTGTCGTGAATTCTTAATCTGACAGTAAACGTAAACAAATATAATCCCATGCACGCGGGATGTCATATTGAGTTATCCCGGGAAATTATGTTGAAGAGAGCGATGATTAACGTGCAGTCAACGGACAATGCATGTTTCGCATGGTCAGTGATCGCGGCTCTGCATCCGAAAGGCATAGATCGGGTCGATAATTCCCGATCCACATTATACGACGATCTTGAATCTCCAAGACATTATGTTTCCGATGACGTTGAATCAAATTAAAAAGTTCGAACATCTCAATGACATCTCCATGAATGCTTACGATATCAAGGGAAAGAAGATTTTTCCGATATGGCTGACAAATAAGAAGATGGAGACGCACGTAAATCTGTTGTACGTGCAGGATCCGCGCGACAACACGGGGCATTTTGCGTGCATTAAAGACCTGTCCTGCCTCGTGAGCTCGCAAATAAACAAAAAAGAACACAAGAAATACTTTTGCGATCGGTATGTATACACATTTTAACAA